AATATTAACGATCCCCATCCCTACACTTGAGGCCCTGAAACTGCTGCACAAAGACTCCAAGCTTTGGTTCCCCGACTGAAGAGGACCTTGGAATGTTCATGCGAAACTGGACCTGAGGTCAGCCCTCGCAGCCATGTAATAAACAAGACTGGCTATGGATACTGACTGAAAAATGGGGCCACTATCAGCCACCTCCTGTACATGGATAGAAACAAGCTGAATGCTAAGACGGAGCAAGACACTGACTTGCTGATCCACACCACCAGGATCTGTAGCAGGGACATCAGAAAGTCATTCAGGCTGAAGAAATGTGTCTGGATGGTCAGAAGGAGAGGGAAGGTAATCCACAGAGTGGATTGCACTCCCAAAAGGGGAGTTAGTAGACGTAGAAGAGAGCTACATGTACCTTGGAATACCACAGCCGAATGAAGAGGCTGCTAGCAAAGCTGCAACATCCAAATACGTGCAATGAGTAAGGCAAAATCTGAGAAGTCTGCTCAATGGTAGGAACAAGGTCCAGGCACTCAACAGCTATGTTTGCCAGCCATCGGATACCCGGTTGGGGTAATAAGTTGGCCTAAGGAGGTAATTGAGGGCATCAATGTTAAAACACAAAAGCAACTCACCATGGATGGTGCATTCCACCTCAAATCTGGTATCCACAGACATACAATAAGGAAGCAGGGGCCTAGTGAGGATCAGAGCCACCAACGAAGATTAAAAACATTCAAGCTCCAAGAATATATTGGGAAAATTATTATTATTTTTTTTTTTTACCAAGTTTCTTCTGCACTGTATTGGCACTTAAATTGTCTCTTGTCCAGAGTCCATTGTGGTGTGACTTTAAATTTTTTCAAAGTGTTACAATGGTTTTAGGTGGGTATCATGTATAATCAAAATGTTGGTACCATGAACCCATGTCAAATCTCAAGGCAGGACTGTCCCTGAAATAAATTATTTGCTTGTAGCTAGTGGCTTACTGTTGATTCAATGAATTTATTGTTGCACTTCTTTTTTTAGTTCAACCAAGTCAACTGACACATTCCCCACTCTATTCCTCTTCCTGAGGTGCCTCTTACTTGAGAACCACAGGAACAGGCTTTAAGGAGATTGTCTGAATCTCATTCCTCCCTTTATAGTTGGTGTCCTTGTTTTTATTCTCCTCAGGCATATGCTTTCACATAAAGCTTGTATTCTATTTTTTTTACTGCTCATCCTGTCACATTTCTACTAGCCAGGAGACAGTGGTAAGGCATTCAGAGTCTTATGGGTGCAGAAGTATCTAGAAGTATCTTTTTAGTTCAGCATAAAAAAAAACAGTGTAGCCATGTGTTGAAGAACATTTTTTCTGTTGCAGTACGGATAAACACATGCTCAAGATCATGCCAGTTAAGGAGAAAGTGTTTTTTGTAGAAAAACATTCTTCTGTTTAATGCGTTGTTTGAAAGTAATCCTTTATTGGACTTGAATAACTCTCAACTTCTGACCATTTCAGTCATCGGCGAATTTTACAATCGTTAAATTGTTTAAGATTCGTAGACTAAGCTGATGCAATACTACAGTGAGATACATGGGTATAAAGTGTGATATAGCATGCAGGTGTGGTTTATAAAAGTTCTTGATTGTTCCATATTAATGAAAAACCATTTAGTTTGAAAATGAAAACTTTTGAAAAGTAAATGTAAAATTTCCACAACATGTTATGTTTGAAGCAGCGAGAATATAAATTCTTGAATAAATAAATTCTTGAATAAGGGAACACCTCTTACAATTGTGTAGCAAGACAGGGGTTGACGTTAAGGATTTTTACTTTCACATTTCATTTGCCCAGAAAATTTTTTTACTTGCCCAGTATAATGTTTGATAAATATAGTTCCTAATAGAGGTGAGTATTGGCATGAGTGTTGCGATTCGATACATGTCGCGATACTTGGGTCACGATGCGATATTATCACGATATTGCAGTATCACTATGTATTGCCATATTTTCCCCAGCTATCAAAATCAAATGATGAGATAAAACAGCAAGTGCTGGATATTTTCATCAGAAAATATTGATTAGGTATTATTATCCATGTTGTTTGGGGTTTTCTTCCACTGTGA